TAAAGCCATGTTAGCAAGAATGATCTCATGGACTGAGAAACGATTAAAAAAAATATGTACCAACACTTAACGTTGCTTCGGAAATTCTAAACGTATACTGCTATGCTGCTTTTAAAATTTTTATCATTTTGCTGTTGCATTGCATATAGCGTAAGTGCGAAGAAAAGATGTTTAATAATAAAGCTAAGACAAAAAGAGTTATTAGAAGTGAGTGTAACAGCAGACTGGTGTTAAATTTCATTCATTTTTTAACTCAGAATGCACAAAATTTATATCATCTTAAGAATTATCTAATCGTTGCTACCTATTCTATTCACATACTATAATAAATCTAAAACGATGTATCAAAGAAATTAACAAAAAAAAAAAAAAAAAATCTGAAATGTTTCAGATTTTAAATTACGTCCAAAGGGGCGTTTTTAACATTTTGTGTGTTACCTTTCTTTATTAAATATCATGTTTCCTCGCACTTAAACCATAAGATCCAGTGCAACAGCAATATCGCAAAATAGTTTTAAAACGAGCATATCTTTAGAATTTCCGATACAGAGACTCACGCGCTGGAGATAAAAATGTTTTTTCTGCACAACGTTGCCATTGCTCGCTTTGAAATCCTTGAGTTTGTTAATCAAAAATTCGTCAAAGTTTTAAAAAATAGGAAATCGATCATAAAACAAATTTCAAATTTCAAATTTGGTCTTCCACATGCTCATATTCGTTGGAGGATTACGTTATTCAAAATTCGATGACTCTATGTACCGTTGTTTTATCACAATACGAGAAATATACATACATTTATGCAGATTTTTCATTATTTAATTTCTTCAAATATAATGCAGGACTCTAACATTTTGTGGCAACAGTTTGAAAAGTGAACCGACATTTATGAGTCCGACGCAAAATGCCAAAACGAAACTAATAGTCCTTCGGGATTCAAATCCCTTTGGACTAAAAAAAAAAAAAAAAGGAAACAGTTTTTACAGACGATCGTATTTCTCGTCAAATTCTTCTCATTCGAGACAGATAAAAAAACTCAAAAATATAAAAATTACATAAAAAGCACTATTCTCAAAAAAATGGTTAAGCATGTTAATTTTGCAATAATAAATGAAGGCGTTATCTTTGTTGTTGCGAAACTTCGTTTTTCTAGATTGGCAACAAATCCACTATTCTGCTAAGTTTTAAATGTAAACCAACATGGCCGCCATGGTAAGGCATAACTTTAGCACATCTTTTAGCTATGGCATATCTTTTGCACACTGTCGTAATTTTACACAATATCGCAAAGTAAATAATGAAAATAATATATACAAGTTCCAGAAATTTTTGAGCTTTCGTCTGAGGCGAATGCACCAGTAGCGTAGCACTCATAAGGGAGTAGACTGTCACATGATACACAATTCATAAAAGTAAAGTCAAAAGCCTGCTTTATTAGGGCTCCACTGTTCTTGCATCCTATCTTTACTTCTGGCATCAGCTACTAGAAGCTATAACCAGTAAATTAACATTATACTAGACGTCAATAAGGTTTTTAAAATAAAAGGTGTATGTTTCTAAATACACCGCGCCCAAGGGCGAGATCAATACATGAGTAAACTCACTAATTAAGATTTTGCAATTAAATAGCATATCATGGCATATCTTGGCGTAGAAAGTAGCTGCTACATCAAGGGCGACATCAGGCGAAATGGGAAAGTCTTAGCATCAGGGCGAGGCAGTAGGGGCTCCAGTGATAATTTTCCTTTCCAGGGTGATAGTACTCCTTGTGTTTTTGGTACCCCTTTACTAGTTTAAATTTTCCACCAGTTTCCTCTTTTGAGATTTATTTTGGGGATTGCCATTAGCGGGTGAAAATTTCTTCTGGAGTAAAAGTCTACTTCCGTCAAACTTTCGGCTTCCTTCCGCTAGAAATCTATGAAAATATCCGTTCGATCTCACCTCGTATATTCCGCTGTGCGCGTGTTTATTGACACTTTCGCGAACTTGAATAACTGCTACAGAGTACTAATGGTGTATTGAGAATACGGCAAAGCACACTAGGGCTATCTGCTTAAGGGAAGGCATGCCTTCGTGGAGGATTTTCTAAGAGAAAATTACTCATACACACGTCACACATAGGGAAAACCACGAAAACATCCATGCAGACAGCCAGTTCGCGGGATTCAAACCTCGGACCGAGCTACCAGCGTTCAGCGGTTTTACCGCTCGGCCGCTGGTGGGCCCGCTAACGAGTATTCGAGTTTCGTAATTCAACAAAATCCCGAATTGGAGGCAGCAACCTAAGCAAGCATAATAAATATATATTCTTCACTCTATATGTTCGTGTTCTTCCTTTCTCGTGTTTTGTGTCATCACTAGCGTGCCAGGAAAGCATTTATGAGTATGCATTTCTTTGTGTTTTGCCATCGTCCAGGTGTACTATATCTCTCGTGAAAGTTTGTAACCGAATTGCTGAAACACCTCGTATATTCCTCTTCAACTTCCTTTGAGCGATCGGTAAACTAAATTAGAATAATTTGGGGACATACGTTGAAATGAAGCGCAGCGAAAAATACGTATAATTTGATATGTATACAAGGAAGTCATATGGTACTCACATCAGATTTTATTTTATATTAATCTAGATCACCCGAGTTACACATAAATAAATAAATAAATAAGCCATTTTGTAGAGACATTAGGTTTTTTTTTTTTTTTTTTTTTTTTTTTTTTTTTTGGAGCAGTAGACATGAAAAATGAGCAACCGCCTTCGCTAAGATTCGAACCGCGGACCACTGAAATACGCGCCCAGCGTGCAGACCACCACACCACAAAGACATACCAACAAAGCGGGAGAAATACCTTATAACCATACTTATAAATAAATAAATAAATGATAAGGAAAATAAAAAAAAAAAATTTGAAAGCCTTTAGATTTTACATTACTCCCAAAGGCGCTTTTTTTTTTTTTTTTTTTTTTTTTTTTTTTTTTTTTTTAACGTTTTGTGTAATGCAGGTATAGTTTTCTAAGGATACTGACTGTTTTAAAACGATGATGCGAATCAATTAAAGGCTACTTCGTGCTAAAGGGTGATTTATACTTTTAAGTATTGAAAGCTAGAAAAGTGAGTGATATTTTTCTTGTAAGCTGTAACAGGGACAATGATTAATTAGAACCAGCCAGCTAACAAAAACCAAATGTCAGTTAACGGCAATTTAAATTCTAATAACTCAAAATATGGTCAAAATTAAAAATACATGATTTGTAATAAGTGATACAGGAACTAAAAATCACGTAGCCCTCGATTATTAAACTAAAAACAGATTGAACTTACGAAAAACATTGGCATGTAGCAATAAATAAAATACAATTAAAAAAAAAGTCTGAAAGGTTTCAGATTTTAAATTACGTCCAAAGGCGCGTTTTTCTAACGTTTTGTGTGTTACCTTTATTTATTAAATATCATGTTCTTCGCACTTAAACCACAAACTTCAATTCAAGAGCAATATCTCAAAATAATTTTAAAATGAGCATATCTTTAGAATTTCGGATACACAGTCTCACGTGCTGGAGATAAAAATGTTTTTTTTTTTTTTTTTCTGTACAACGTTGCCATTGCATGCTTTAAAATCGTTCAAATTTGGGCTTCCTAATGCCCATATTTGCAGTAGGATTACGTCATTCAAAATTCGATGGCTCTAGGTACCGTTCTTTTAACGCAATGCGAGGAACATTCATACATCTATACAGATTCTTCTTTATTTAATTCCTTCAAATGTAATACAGTGCGATAATATTGAGTGGCAACAGTTTGAAAACTAAAACGGACATTCAGAGTGATTAGACGCAAAATCCCAAAACGGAAACAATAGTCCCTCTGGGACAAAGCCCCTTTGGACTACAAGCCAATTCTAAATTCCAATTTCTGGCTTCCAGATCCCCACATTCTAGTGGAGGACAACTTATTGAAAATTTAAAATCTCTAGGTAGCGTTGTTTTTTCGCAGTGCGACAAACATACATATATTCATGCAAAGTTTTCATTATTTAATTTTTTTTTCATGCGGAGCTCTAATATTTGGTGGCAACAATTTGAAAAGTGAAACCGACATTTATAGTGAACCAACGCAAAATGCCAAAACGAAATGAATACTCCTTCTGGGCTGACGCCCTTTCAGCTAAAAATAACTAAATGTTAATACATAATAATAATAATAATAGTGCAGAAAAGATTTAAATATTCAATACCTAACCTGGTATTTATTTAACTGAACCAGTTACGTGCCCGTAATATTTACTTAAGTGACAATAACTTTATTTTGCTAGGATTCGAAATATTCTTACTGCTTAAAACAATAAATACCTCTTCGAAATATTCACTAAAAAGCAGTTAAATATTAATTAAACTTAATTAATTAGCTACATATTTTAATACTACAAGACCATATTTGCATCGTCAGTATTATAAAAATTGGAAGATTTTGTAAAGATTCAAATCTTAAATCAAATGTCAAATAGCAAATTTTGATTTACATTCATCATTAGAAACTGGAGTATCTTAAGTGTGTGACAGTAATAACTAATTTTATAACTGTACGATTTTTCACACTATTTAATAGTCTAGCTACTTTAGAAAAGAGACATTTTAAAAATAATAAAAGTTGTTCTATTTCATGATCGAATAACCGATTAAGTAAGAAGGTAAAAGTAAAGAAAGTCTAACTGTTACGCGCTTACCACATTTCATTTTAGAATAGAAAGAACCAAAATGCAGATCGCATTGAGGACGAGGTTACATACTTCACACAAAAGAAAGGAAAAAAGAATAAAATATATTCCATATATCTATGAATAATATCTCGTGGTGATTGCGCTTAATACGTTTGTTGTCTTCTCTTTCTCTTATGGTCAACGTTTCTTTGTTGATGTCTGAACGACCTTAAAGTATGTTTAACTATTATTTTTATATTTATTATTATTTTTGTCACGAGACCGGTTTTAAGGCCAAGGTTAAAGTAAGCATGGTTCTTAGCGCATGAAGGGACATCGATGCTCACTTCGGAAAATTCAGCGCAGACGATGACACTCCATCCGCTTGTACTCAAGGGATTGACCCCTGAGTTGCTTCGACAAGCGCAGGAAGAAGTTGGCGAGACGCCAGAAGTGAAAGCGAAATCCATCGAACAATTAAAAAGGTTAATTAAAGGTAAGAGAATTTTTTTAATTACTTTAACTCGAAGGAATTGAGATTGATAGAATTTTAAAACTACATCTAAATCTCCATCACACATTGTTGAAAGTGTTAAAAAGTACTAGTTTTCGGGGAAAAAATATCTTGATCTTAATTTACATAGTACTTATATATTTAATAATCGAAAATAAGAAAGATTTACAAATAATTCCAAAATTTATATTTTTAAAAAAATAAATTGGCTCTACATTTTTAGTCCAAAGGGGCTTTGTTCCTGAGGAAGTATTGTTTTCGTTTTCGGATTTTGCATCGAATCACTCTGAATGTCCGTTTCACGTTTCAAACTGTTACCACCAGATATTATCGCCTAATATATATTTGAAGACATTAAATAATGAAAAATCTGCATAAATATATGTATGTTTCTCGCATTGGGATAAAACAACGGTACCTAGAGCTACCGAATTTTGAATGACATAATCCTACTGCGAATATGGGCATCTGGAAGCCCAAATTTGAAATTTGGAATTTGTTTCATTATAGATTTCGTATTTTGTAAAACTTTAACTAGTTTTTGATTAACAAACTCAACGATTTAAAAGCGAGCAATGGCAACACTCTACGGGGAAAGAAAAACCTTTTTATCTCCAGCGCGCGGAATTGTGTATCGAAAATTCTAAAGATATGCTCATTTTAAAATTATTTTGCGATATTGCTATTGAACTGAATTTTACGGTTTAAGTGCAAAGAACATGATATTTAATACTAAAGGTAACACACAAAGCGTTAAAAAAACGCCCCTTTGGACGTAGTTTAAAATTTGAAACCTTTCAGTTTTTTTTTTTTTAACAGTTCGCAAATTTTCTTGTAAATTAAAACGGGTATTTTTTTTTTTTCCCATGACTGTCTTCACTTTTGCTGGTGTTATAGTTCTTCATTCTTCATTTCTCGATTAATTTTTTAATGTTTCTTTGGTTTCCTTTGGTCCTTTTGGTCCTTTTGGTTTCATTTTCAAGCTTTGGAGATCTTTTAAAACTGGTGATAATTTCTAGGCAGATATGATGCCAAAGCAATTAATTAGTATTTATAATGCCCACCAGAGGCCAAGCGGTACGTCGCTGAACACTCGTAGTTCGGTTTGGGGTTGAATCCCTGCGAATGGGCTGGCAGCGTGGACGTTTTCGTGGTTTTCCCTTGTAAAACGTGTATACAAGCCAGTTTTTATTAGAAAGTCCTCCATGAAGGCATCCCTCCCTTTAGGCAGATCACCCTAGCGTGCTTTGTCATAACTAAATAACTCAAACCAATCAGTATTGATGAATGAGTGTTGAATTGCGTGCGAATGAAATTTTAGCATTGGACAAATTAAATGAATTATATATGCATATAGTTATGCGAGATACATACGTACATGTGCACAGACATCACAAAAAAGTCCATTTTACAATCCGGTTTTGGAGAAAGAGTCCTTTTTCTGTCAACACGTAGAGACGTCTCTTAAGCTATAGTCAAAATAGATTTCGGAATGGTCAAAAGAGATGTTTCCGGTGAAATATTGATACCCGAAATTTTTCGCGATCACAGTTCTTTATTTTGTAGAAGGAAGTCAAAAACTATTGGACCCCTCAACCGCTTTCATTCCGTGCATACCCCCCCGCACGTCTTTTGAATCTGAAACCGCTGCTTTAACGTTTGTTTTAATAAACGGTCCTCCACAGAATCAGTCACAGTTAATTTCATAAACTGCTTAGTTATTTTAGGAATCAATATGTAGCTGTCATAATGTGCTAGACGTGAATACTCGATAAAGTGTGGCATTTCAGAGATAATCAGTTAATATTAAAATCAAATTAACAGATAGCATAACGTTAAACTAAATACTAATACATAAATTAATAAAAAAATAAGAAGACATTATAGAACCTTAACAGAAATATAATAAATAATCCATAAAATGTAGAAAGTATAGTATTACATTATATTTTGTGAAATTTTTGTTTTCCAGAAAAAGATTTTCACGGAAATAGCCAATTATAAAATTCTAGAATTTTCTATGTAATGCCTTTTTACTTCCTTGTACGAAGTAAAAAGGAAGTAATCGTGAAAATTTCGGGTCTCATATTTCAACGAAAATATCCATTTTGACGGCTATCGAATGTAGAATAAAGGTCTCTTTTCCCCAGAAAAATTAATAAAACTGATTTAAAATGAATTCTGAAGAAAATTTTTACGGCGTCTGTGTATATATATATATATATCTGTTACTAGGCTCAGTGAGCTCAGTTTCTTTATCCTTATATGTTTGTAAATTGTGTATTTTTTTGCTTTAAAAATGATTGAATTATTTTGTTCTGGTTAAGAGTTTTATGCCTTTGGTTAACTCGAATGCAATAATTGTGGAAAAATCAACAATAGAAAAGTTATTTTAAGTGCGGTTAAGCCTACTTTTTAATTACCATGGCGGCCATGTTGCATTAGATTTAAAACTTAGCAGAATACTGGATTTGTTGCCTATCTAGAAAAATTAAGCTTCGCAACAACAAAGATAACGCCTTCATTTATTATTGCAAAATTAAATCATGCTTAATCCATTCTACAATTTATTGGAGGAAATAAGTGTTTGAGATGTACTTCGTAATTTTTAGAGTTTTTATGTAGTTTATCTTTGTCTCGAAATGAGAACTGAATTATTTGAACGAGAAATACCGAAAAATTGTTTCTTTTCTTTTTTTTTTTTTTTTTTTTTTTTTTTTTTTTTTTTTTTTTTTTTTTTGTTTGTTTTTGTTTGCTTAATTTCTTATAATTCTTATAATTATTATATATTTCTTATAATTTCTTATATTGCTTAATTTTTAATTATAAGTCTCAATTCAAACTCAGATTGGTGCAAAGGTGCTTCCGATAAAATATTAATATGACTATTATACTAAAGGCCAGTTTACACTTCTCCGAGCGACCCGCAGAGAACCTCTCGCTACGACTTCTTTGACAATGTAAACGTTAACTTCGTCCGAATACAAAAGTAGGGGTGATGAGTCAGCCATTCCGTTTCTACTTCGAACGAGTTGAAAATCTATCCGGGCAGTAACTCGAGCAGTGTTTGCAAAAGACGTCGTGTCAAATTTTTCCGTCATGTCGAAAATACTGAGATGGAGCAATAATCTAACCATGGCATTTTTAATGCATATGCATCTTGTCAAGTATTATATGTATACTTCACTACCTGAATGTTACGACCATTGCTTACTAATACCTAAATATAACGTGAATATAACTATCGATCAGAATGAATTTAGGTTTTTGATATTATAGAAAAACATAGAAGAAAATTAAATTAGGGTATCGGATTCAAAATATTTATATTAAACACATTTATTTCTGAATTTTCTTAAATCAAGAAACAATTAAATTATATATATTATTCAACTACCCAATAAAATACACCTTTAAAATTGAAAAAGATAAATGAAAGGGCAAACGTTTGATTTTGTTGATATAAATTTCGAAAAACTAGTTTTTACTCATGGCTAACTAATTACACCTAATAAAATATAATTTGAAATTTTGTTTATGGTCTTTCCTTTATATAAGGACAACAAGCTAGATTTTATTTACAAACGATCAGTCGGAAGTATTAAAATAAAAATCGCCGACAGAAGGCGTATGAGGATATTATTAACATGTTAAAATTTGAGGGTGTTAGAGAGTTCAAGCAAAAGCTTAATAATTTTTGCTCAACCTCATACATAGAACGTGGCCTCAAACGCTTCTGGAATAAATAAGCTGATTATGCATTTTGGCACTCGAAATAAATATTGCAGAGAACAAGGAGTCCTCCGTCCCCAGAAACCGAAGCGCTAGCAGTATTTTAATTTTGTTGGCAGAGAATCTCAAAAGATTTTTTTTTTTTTTTAAAATAAGTGGCGTGACCATTTCCAATAAAGTTTCAAACTATCCTCCACCCATTCTGATGAAGTTTTGGTAACTTTGGATATCCTTGCCCGAAGTTTATTTAAAAGTTGATTTAATGCTCCCAATTCATCACGGCGAGCTACCCAGTCACATATTAATTTCCTTTTCTTCTTCTTTTTTTTCTTCCCAGAACAGAAATTAATTCGCTGAAAACCGTTTCGCAAACTTCAAGCGCTTCAAATACCACATCGGTGTCCATTTTGCAAACAAATGGAGGTGAGTTGTCACTCCGGCTCTGATTGGTGTAAACAATCTATCAGATTACAGGTCCATTCATTCGGTTCGAGACACCGTTACGAGAGGCTCGCCGAAAGTCCCTCGGAGAAATGTAAACTCGCCTTTAAACTCGTTCATGCTAAAAGTGTTTAACAGAACTTAAGAGATTTTTCTTAAAATTTTTTAATTATTATTTAAACCTGTAGAGCCTACAGGCCTTTTCTAAGCCGGGAAATATACGTAAAAATAGCTATACTCTTCCTGGATTCGAATTCCGGACCTCTCGGTTGCCGCTGGAAGCCATTAGTTACGTCTGGCATGCTTGGGGGCCAGCTACTCTAGTAATGCATTTACCAATGTCCTTGGTACCGCAACCGAGCGAAAGGCTTCTACAATTGACCAATTGACTTTCAGTAGTAATTTCTATTGTGTCAGGGAACTGTTGCTGCGCTTAAAGCAAGATGGTTTAAACCATTTTGCTGCACAATTGCCTCGCAATATAATTAAAACATCGTGGATTTCTTGAAAAAATTTTCAGAGCGAAATTAGATCAAATACAAGTAATTGTCACGATTTCACTATCTGGCTGAAAAGAATGCAAGTATCTGCTGGAAACTGTGAAGCAAATGGGAAATGAAATGTAAACAAAAACTTTCAAGGATTCAACGTTAAAAAAGCAGAAGCGCATTTCTTCGCACTCGAAGTCCCTTCTTGGTTATTGAACCGATGTGCATTTAAGACTTTTGCTCGCCGGACGTGTTTCCAATTACGCTCCTTACAATCTAATATATGTATTAACACGTCAAAAGAACTCGAAAACATTTTGATTTCAAATAAGGCACTAAGCACAAACATAATCAATAATATTAATTCTAAGAACTAACAGTTTAAAGTTTGCTTTTGCATTTATTAGTTAAAGGTATCAAAATTACAATTTCGAATTTCTTCTAATTTTTGCTATCGCAGTTGTTTTACGAGAAAGGAGGCATTAAATGTGCAACATAGTAAGAAATGTGGTGTTTTGTAGATTTTCTTTTGTTATATTATTCCACACACACACACACAAAATCTATCTGACAAAATTTCATAATACTTCTTCACCATACATTCATACAAATTAATCCAAAAGTGGAGTGTCTAAGTTTTCATAAAGCCTTTCAAATTCTTTGAGAGATGTCAGAGCACTGCGATGGTGTATTGGTGTATTTAATTATGGCAAAGCACACTAGGGCTATCTGCCTAAGAGGAGGGATGCCTTCGTGGAGGACTTTCTAAGGGAAACTGGCTCGTATACACGTTACACATGGGGAAAACCACGAAAACACCCATGTGGCCAGCCCGTTCGCGGGATTCGAACCTCAGATCGAACTATCAGTGTTAAGCAACTTTACCACTCGCCCGCGGGTGGGCCCAGCACTGCGCTGCTAGAAAAAGAGAACTTTATATTCCTTTATTTACCACTGTCTTATTACATATCAAGACTATTTCAAAAGATTTACAGTGCAAAATGCAATAAAAATTCCTTCTGTCTTTCCTTGTGATTTAGTTTGATCACTTCCATGACGTTTGTTTAAATCTGTATTGAATTTCTTGAATATATTTTTCAGAAAATGCTGACTTCGTCTGTTGGATGGATGACAGTTTCTTGGTGAGGTTTCTCCGTTTCGCTAAATACGATGTACAGAAAGCTTTCAAGACCATCCGAAACTACTACACATTCAAAGCAAAATTCGCAGGACAATACACGAATTTCAAGCCCTCCGAAGTGAAACACATTCTCGAAAAGAACCATATACTTGTGTCACCTTACAGGGATCCTCATGGAGGCAGCATCTTCATATTAGCTTTAGGTGAGCATTCTGTCTTTGCCATTTTCTTGCTTTTATATTTCTTCTTTATAATTTATTTCAAATCTTTACGTAATGACAAACAGCAATCAAGTTCAGTCGTCTCCCAATACGTATTACTATGCAAAAAAAAAAAAAAAAAAAAAAAAAAAAAAAAAAAAATGCATTTAACGTGAGTTTGTATGTAGAGAACCTACTCTTAAATAACTTATAAATTTGGAAACAAAAATACGTACTAAGGTGAGATTTCCAGTTTTAAATATATGCACCAACTATAGCCAGAGTCCATTAATCTCACACTTTAATCAGTCTTTAGAAATAGAGCAGTAAAGTGCCATTTTCAAATTGTCTGTAAGTTTCATTAATATCTACTGTTTGTTGGTAAGTTCAATAATTAATAATTATTAAATAGCTTACCTTGAATTTTCATCGATTTATAGTTACCTGGAAATACTTGAATTTGACACAGTAAAAAGACTCAAAGAATTGAATAAGATTTTGACTTCACATTCAAACTACTAGAAATCAGCTGTTAGAATTGTTTACAATGAGTTCATTCTTTCTTAGCATCGAATACTAGTCGTTTGGTTTTATTTAATCTGTTGCCACAAACAAACGGCAAAATTAAAAAATGCATTACGAATTAAACATCTTTCGCGAGGGCAGCGCCATCTATAGAAAAAGATAAAATAAGGCACAAACATTTTTAAAACTGAATATCTACAGTGCTGTTAATGTAATTACAGTTAAAGTTTAAACATCTTTGTTAAGATTCATCATTACCTGGATGTTCTTCAAAGAGCTGGACAGTTTCTTTCAAGCAGTTTCAAACTGTAACGTTGTTCATCACTTACAGTTAGTTCTTAATATTACATCTGAATATTTGTTACTCTTTAAATTTGCATAACTACTGCCTAGTACTAAAATAGTTTGAATTTTTGCTGAATATTGAAAGGAGAAATATTTGCTGAGTCTGCTTCAAGCTTTTTGGCTGCGGTAAACTCAAACAGAAAGTGAAATAAATAAAGAATTTTCGTAACATTGAGAAGCACCTACCCTTATATTTTTACAATAGCATTTTTTAGAATTAATTCAGAATTTCCTTCATATCTTCTGTCTTTGGTATTTATAAGAAATCGTTTGACCATCAAAATTACTTACTTTCAGCTGATTCACGTTATTTCTGATCCAAGAGCAATTTCTACGATAGTCTTGCGTGTTGCAGATTAAAATGTTTTATTCCGGAAAGTGCTGAGACTGCTAGCTTTAAAATTGCTCAGTTTATAAATCAAAAATTCATTAAATACGCATACATTAAAAACGAATTCGAAGACCCTTTAGATTCACATGTTTGGGTGTAAAACGTGTGCACAAACATATTCTTCATTATTCAATAGCACAGACTTCCAAATATTTATTGCCTTATTTACTGAATTTCCGAATTAAAAGCGCAAGTTTTATCTCCGTTTTAAAAAAGAAAGAGTTTCGTTTTTCTAAATTCATTGAACAAAGTTTTTATTTATCGCATTAAAGTAAATTACTTTGAATAAAATTTTTATTTATCGCATTAAAGTAAATTACTTAGTAAATTACTTTAAATTATCAAAAAATATAAAATAAAAAAAAAACTTTAAAGGTTCAAATTTGCTGGAAGTTCTTACACTGAAATCATAAATTAAGCTGTCGACAAAAATGAGCTATTTCTAAGCTATTTCTAAATTGAGTTTAAAATTTAATAATCGTTCTAATCTTATGTTCACTGATCGTTTTCTAAAATTATACTTGGATAAACAAATTACTTTGAAGAAATGGAGCATAACACTTAGTGACTTGTTTTGGTCCCAAAATGGGCTTTATCCCAAAAGGGCTATTAATTTCGTTTTGGCATTTGCATTGATTCACTTGTTTTGGCATTTGCATTGAATAACTTTTCAACTTGTTGCTACAAAATATTAGAGCCCTGTATTACATTTAAAGTAATTAAATAATGAAGAATCTGCATGAATGAATGTATGTAGGTTTCTCGCACTGTGAAAAAAAGAACGGTAGCTATAGCTATAGCGCTATAGTGGCTATAGCGACATCCAGTTTTGAATAACAGTCCTCCACTATAATATGGGCATCTGGAAGCCCACATTTAGAATTTAGAGTTTGTTTTATTATATAAATCATGTTTTGTGAAACTTTAACGAATTTTTGATTAACAAACTCAACGATTTCAAAGCGTTCCGTTAACATTAACAAGCACGGATATTTGTTGCGCGAGGTTTCTTTACATTTCTCACTGCTATAATATCGGTAGCGTAGTAAACAAAATATAAAGTCTCTAATAATCAGACTGGATCGAATGTAAAGTAATAAACAGATAGCGTTAGATACATATACATAATTATGACATCACGGTTTCTTTTTCATGGACCTTATAAGAGATAGACTAACCCAGTGGGCGGGGCGCGCGTCACCGACATGTCGGCAAGAAAGAGTAGGGACGATCTGGTTTACTTTAACACTGAAACCTATGGCGTATGTATCACATAACTCTTTTTAATTATTAAATGTGATACGTTGTATAGTGATGAGATTATGAAAGTCACAGTTTTTTCCAAATAGGATTTAATATAGCTCATTAAAGCACTTTTTACAGCATTTCGCGCATTTTATTCACGCGTTATTCTTGTACAAACATCTTTACTTTGGTAAAACGGTAAAAACTCTAGGCACAAAATTTACGAACTTAATTTTTCATAAAAAATAAAGTAAAATTAAATAAGATTGATAGTACGCGATGCTTTGAAATATATAAGGTAAAATTAAACATGATCTGATAATTTATTTTAATTTAATGAACATTTTCAGGCAGTGGATTTCCAAACTATAATAACATTACAAAACGATCATATTTATTTGATTATATGATCATTAAATTATTAACATTAAAGTGGATTTGTTATTTTAATAATTCATAAAATTCGGAGCATAAAATTTTCTGAACGTAATGAAGGAAAAAAAAAAAGATCAATTAAAATCTAGCATCACTCTTTTTTTAAAGTTTTGTGTGTTACCTATATTTATTGAATATCATGTTCTTCGCCCGTAAACCACATTACATTTGAAAACAGCATGTCTTTAGAATTTCCGCACTGGAGATGAAACTGTTATTTCTCGCACAGTGCTCGCTCTGAACTCGTTGAGTTTGTTAATCAAAAATTCGTTAAAGTTTTACAAAATATGAAATAGATTAAAACAAATTTTAAATTCGGCCGTCCAGATGCCCATGTTCGGGTGGAGGATTACATTATTCAAAATTTGATGGCTCTAGATACTGTCGTTTTTGTCACAGTGCGAGAAACATACATGTATACATGCAGATTCTTCATTATTTATTTTTTTTTTACATATAATACAGGTCGATAATATTTGGTAACAACAATTTGCAAGGAGACACGGACATTTATAGTAAAATGCCGCTTCGAAACTAATAGCCTTTCTAGGCTACCGCCCCTTTGGGCTAATACTCGTAAATTAAATTTACAGCGAATAAAAAAAAATCTTATGCAGAACTAAAATAAATTAAAAAAATAATCACTATAAAATACAAGCAAAATTAATTATTACGGTTATATACAATTTTAATATTAGAATTAAATGTATAAAATTTTTAAGGAGTCAAAAGTGTTTATCACTTTGATGTATTATGAAATATAATTGAAATAAAATTCCTTTATAGAAATTGCGCTATAATACTCATCCATAATTTTAAAAAAGCAGCACAATTTAGAATTTTAAACAAAACTTTCAAAAATTCGTTTTTAAATATTTTAGTATTTTTTACTTATTTACACCAATAAAAAGCATAAAAATTGCAAGAGAAAATTGCTTGTTTGAAATTTTTTATGAGTTCAGATTTAAAATATTATTTTCTAAAAGAAGTAGTTACAAATTTCCTTATAGCATAGGAAAAGCTAAAAAAATATCCAGTCCTGAAAGCATGCAATAGCTTTATAATTATTTGGAATGTTAATTATGCTTAATAAATATGCTAAATTTTTAAAAATCAATCTCACTTTCAAAAATAAAAATATGCAGAAATTCTAATTTGTGAAATGAGGCGCTACAACCAGCTTTTTCTTGACAATTATACACGCTGCAATAGGCAACCAATGTTAAATTTCTGCAAGTCGTCCCTACTCCTCCGGATGTGATCAAGGTGACAGCCGGCAACGCCTCAGACAAGGGAGAAAACCCGTTTGGGTTAGTCTATTTCTTACAAGGTCCATGTTCTTTTTACAAACACTACCGCCATCTATTGGCAATCGGAGGATACATAGTCATAAACTTAACACGTAACAAAGTATCAACGCAAAGACGTTACAATGTCTAACGGTATTTTGCGTCCAATGATTTTGAATATCTGTATCACTTTCAAATCCCGTTTTGAATCCCCCGTAAAAAAAAACACAATTGTGGGTGTAATCTAAAATCTGAAAGCTTTCAGACTTTTATTACTTTTTCTTATGACTATTTATTTAATTAATGATAATAAAAATGCTTATTAAAACGAGAAAAGGGTAGACTTTTATGGTGAGAAAGTATCTCGTTTAGAAAATAAAAAGCCAAACTATGAACAAGGCTATGTGCAAGACTTTTTTGTAGATGGCTGATGTTCTTAGAGATTGAACTATTCCATTTATCAGGTTCTTTTGATGCTGATCTGGTTCCTATGAAAGAACTGATGGCTGCCATTATGGTGTGCTCTGAAGTGGCGATCTGCGACGAAACGATACAGCTGTGTGGTTCAACAGTTATTTTCGATTTCCAAGGTAGCTCTATGAGGAAGTTGCTTCATTTTGCTTCATTCCAGCTCCTGTCTTTTGCATTCACAGGATTGCAGGTAAATATTAAAATTATTCTTGGTCTCAAATTTATTATACGAAAAATAAGCAATGGCTTCACCGGGATTCGAACCTGGACTCCCGAATACACTCCGAGGGTGCTACCGTTATATCACGAACACATGCAGAAAGAAGGGAGAAAATACCCTCTATACTGCCCCTTTTAAAGAGCGACTGGGTATTAGGAGCCCCAGTCGTCAAAATCCTGATGATCCCAAGCAGCACATGACGTAGCAAAGACGTTGCAAACTGGTCCGAAAAGTTGCAAAGTGGTCGTAGTAACGGCTTTGCGGTAAAAGTATATTTTAGGTACCCCTTGGCGATTTTTGGCGGTACATGGATACCGATTTGTGCAATTCTTTGACTTATTATTTTGATTTGCATAATGGCGATTTTGCGCCAAACATCACCTCTACACAAAGCCCAAATAACAATACAAAGAATTGTACAAACTCGGTATCCATGTACACATTGACCTATTTTCCCTTAAAAAAATCCAAGAATAGCACAAACTTGCATTACGCACTCCCTTCATTTTGTCCATGTACACATCGATATATTTTCACTTAAAAAGTCAAAGGAGCACCCAATTCTATATACAATACAGGCAAACAAAAAATAGATAATCTCAATAAACTACATTTTAAACCAAACAATAAAATAACATAAAAAAGGAAAAACGTGTTATACATTTAAGCACTACAAAAGGCAAATATCCACTTACCCTATTTAGAAGTTGTTCGTCTTGAGTCTGTGGCACACAAAATTCCTTAACAGCATCCAAAAACTTCCTAAAATTATTTGAACTCAAATCCGTATATCGGCGTCGCCATATCTGAACCTTTCCTTCAAACCCATTCAAATCCATCTAAACGGTTTTTACGTTCGATTAAACGCATATCCTTCCTACATACAGGACCCTTATAATGGCTATTAAGTAAAACTTCATGGTGCTACTTTGGTAGACGGTTGCACGGATTTTTGGCGATTTACGTTGGCGCAATTGTTGGCGCGATTTTTACAATCGTCAGCCATCTTGAAAAACGCTGTTTTTCAAGATGTAATAGTAAAGTATAGTAAAGTATTCGAAACTTAAAAAAAAAATAAATATCGTTAAAAGTAATGGATTAATTTTTTGTTGAAAATGTCGTTTTTTAAGATGGCAGAAATAAATACATTTACTATGAGTATAAAATACTAAAGTAAGGCTATTATTACTTTCATATAGAAAAAAAGAGAATAAATACACCGCTATAAAAACATTGTGCCAACGTTTAATTAGATTAAAATATTACTGAAACTGAATATCGAATTAAAAACCATCCTACCAAAATTTAAAAGAATTAGAATATTATTAAATTCAAATACTTTAAAATACGTTATATAAAATATAATTAACATTAAAACTTATGTGACAATAATTATCTCAGCAATTTTTGAAAATATTGTATTAATTTTTTTTAACAAAAATTGAAGTATACAATTATAAAATAAAAGAAAAATATGTACTTACATTTTTTTGAGTAATTTAACCTCTTGTTTATTGATAAGTAGCACAAAAAAATCGAAATCATAATTGAATCGGCTCTTTTAATCATCTTCATCTGTTATCCACATATCTCGCACTTCATTGAAGAAGCAGTTAGCGAGGTTTCCTCCAAAAATTTTAAATAAGTTTCCTCTCACGATATTAACAATTTATAAATAAATCTTTGATTAGGAAAGACAGGTTGGCCAAAATAAGGTCTCAAAGGGCAATTTTTTTATTCCAATACCAATAATTCTTGGTAATTACCAATAACAACATTCATCTTCGAAACAGAGATATTTGAAATCTGACGAATTCGAAGAGATGAAAAGTAAAATTTTTAAATGGCGCGGTAATGCACAAATATTCAGTAACCAATCAGGGAGCTGATTACATCACGCGTAGAATTAAAATTATTTAAATAATCATTCATAATAAAATCATTTTTAAAACAAATGCAAAATTAAATTGTATTTTAATATTTAACAGCCATAAATAATGTTTAAAACATTAGATTAAATTTATAGATATTAATAAAACCAATTACTTTTTAAGTAAGGTGACGTCATTGATTACATCATCCACAACATAAAATTTCATAAAATATGATAAACAATAAAATTTTTATTTCAAATAAAAATGTAAAATTAAATTGATTTTTAATATTTAGAAGCCATAAATAATATTTAAAACACGGAAGTTATGCATAATAAAACGCAATATTTTTTTAATAAAATGGCAACAAAGTATCGGTTACCATAAATAACTTATCCAGCAATGGGTTTACCATAAGTTGTATTACTCACCAAAAGAAAAATTGCCAAAAAATCGCCAAAATCCTTGCAACCGTCTACCAAAGTAGCACCAACTTCATTTACCACATCAGTCAATTAACACTGTTTTCTCCTTTCGTTCCAAATCGTACAGAAACTTCAAATTAATCTTACTACATTCAGCCATTCTACCATTTAAACAAACAAAAACAAAAACAAAAAAAAAAAAACAGCACACCACAAAAGCGCTTATAAAACATCCCATAATTCAAAATTTCCCAGAATCATGCACCCGATTACGTCCCAATAGGGTTTCCATAACATTCAACTACTCAGGCTACCATAAATGAAACAACAACTTGGCGATAAATGAAACAACAACTTCGCCATAATACAAGGCGTACCTTAAAGTCTTCTCTAACCCGGCTTTGCTACGTCATATGCTACTTGGGATGAAGAATCATCATCCAGTACCTTTTAATTCGGGCGCCACTGCACAGTCATTAGGAGTTTTAAAGTGGGAAGCACTAAAAATGAGCAATGCCCTTGCCGGGACTCGAACTTGAACCTCTCGAATACGTGCAGAATGCTCGAACCATTACACCACGAAGGCATGCGGAAAGGAGGGAGAAAATAGCCTACATTGTTTTCTTACATATGCCGTGAATTAAATGAATTTTTATTTAAACCAGTCATAAAAAAATATAAGCATATTTAATGTGTTTACTTAGATATATCATGAATTAAATGCATTCTTATTTAAATCAATCATATTAAAAAGTAAAATAAATATAAGCATATTTAATGTGCTTATTTAGATATGTCATGAGTTAAATGCGTTTTTATTTCAATCAATCATATTAAAAAGTTAAAAAATGTAAAAACATTTAATGTTTTTAATTAGATACATCAGGAATTAAATGCCCTTTTATTTAAATCAATCAGATTAAGAAATAAAAATAAATAATGTTTTTAAGAACTGCATCTACTGTTTTTAAATAATTTAGCTTGTTTATCAGTAATAGACAAATTAAATACGTGTAAGAAAGAATAATATTTTACATTTTTCCGAATGGCATCATTGAAAATTAAAACGATGCATTTACAATAGACCATGTGAAATAGCGTATAAATTAAATAGCGACGAACGAAATAGCAACCATGTGAAATAGCGTTTGGGCTAATAAAATATGAAAAAAAAAAAAATTCTAAAATTAAGCTTTTATGTTATGAAATGTATTAAACATTTTTTTCATACCCATTGAGTTCTTACATTGAAAGTCAAATATTTGCGATTTGCATAATTTAGCGACTAGCGACAAAAAAACGGTTACTTCTTACCTTTAAATAACTCTTTTTTTTTTTTTTTTTTCTGGTTTCATACTAAACATGTAATGAACGCTTTCTTACAATACTGAACGCTTTCTTCTTAATGTGGCTTTCTTATAATCTCAAGAAACCTTTCAATACACCATTACTATGCGATTAATATGAAACTGCTAAAATCCTACTATTAAGACAAATTGTCAATAATTAACGATTTCTACTTTTAATTTATAGCTAAGGCGAGTAAAGAGCTTTCAGAACTCACTGCTAGTTAAAAAATTATTTAATACTTTACTGCTTTGTATGTTAGACTTATTATGTCTATATTTCAAAATATTAAAGCATTTAATTTACAATCATATTTTTCAATTGTTTTGTACTCAAACTTTTAATTTTAATAGTACAGTACAAAGTCCGTAATCCGGACTTCGGGACTTCGGCGATTCCGGATTAGGGTTTTTTCCGGACTATAGATCATCAATTTAAATCTGGTAAGATGGCATGCAGAATTTATACAATTAAAAATATGAAACAGTAATTTATGAAATAAAGAGCAATTATGATCTAAAGGGTATCAAATTTTACAAAAAAAAAGCTTAATATTTATTTGTTTACATTATTAAACATTTCTTTCAACGCGCGCTTGCGTAATGTATGCGCATTCTTTACGCGCATGCGTAATGTATGCGCATTCTCTACGCTCTTGCGTGATGTTTGTGGCTTTGAGGTCCGGATTATAGATCATTCCGGATAATGGACTTCCGGATTACAGACTTTGTACTGTATTTGTTAAAATTTTAAGATTTAAATACTGCCTAGAAGAGTAGAAAGACATCTTAAAATACGTGAGGTTTATGAAAATTCATATTGACTTGATTTGAATGCACTAAACATCTGAAAGATTCAGACTTTAATGGTCATGCAAAGAGGTTTTTTAAGGTTTCTTTTTTTTTACCTTCGCTTAACTCGCAGTCTACCAGTCTGCCGTTAAACTCACTCCCGCTAATCCATTTCTTTTTGTCATTTTGGCTTTATTACTAGGCATCATATTCTTCGCACTTACGACATATGCAGTTCAACATCAAAATTACAAAAAATTTCAAATCAGTACACGTTTAGGACTCCCGATGCAACATTAAAGTGTTGGCATTTATTTTCTGGTTTTTTTTCTCCCCCCCCCAGTCTTTTCTCAGTGCATCATATGAGCTTCAGTTTTTTTACTAAGATGACTTTACAAAATCTTTTTCGTCTTTTAATAATGTTTTGTGTGTTTATTTTGTTCATTAAAAATGAGATTCTTGGCACTTATGCTACATAAAACTCGATTCAACTAGAAAATCACAAAATGTTTAAAAACAGCATATCTTTTTAGAATTTCCGATAGACAGCCTCGCGCTGGAGATAAAAATGTTTCATTCCGTAAAATCCCGTCACTGCTCGCTTTGAAATCGTTTGTTAATAAAAAATTCGTTAGAGTTTTACAAAATATGAAATAGGTAATAAAACAAATTCGAAATTCAAAATTGGGGTTTCCATGTACCCATGTTCGGGGTGGAGAACCACGTTATTGAAAACTGATGACTCTAGGTAGCGTTGTTTTTTTCACAATGCGAGAAACATACATGCATTCATTCAGAATCTTAATTATTTAATTTTTTAAAATGTAATACAGGGCGATAATGTTTGGTGGCAACAATCTGAAAAGAAATGGTGTAGTAGTGAGGGTGGTGTATTTAATTATGGCAAAGCACACTAGGGCTATCTGCCTAAGGGGAGGGATGCCTTCGTGGAGGACTTTCTGAGGAAAACTGGCTCATCTGAAAAGTAATACAATGCATTAAGTGTTTTGACGCAAAATGCTAACCCAAAAATGCATTAAGTATTTCGACCCAACCAAAATTTTTTAATAATAAAAAAAATATTAAACTATCCCGGAACGTGAGAAATAGCTGCAAAAGAGAAAATTTATTAATTAAAGCAAATTAATTTTACAGCAATAAAAACCTGACTCACCCTTAATTTAATATTTTTGAATTATGTTAAAATGAGAATGAATTTTAATTATTCATAGTTTAATACTACAACTAGGACTCCTCGAGGATAATTAATTAAAGCATTGAACAGTAATAATTAAAGGAATAAGTAGATAACATGTAACATAAATTATTAACTAATATGTATATTGATGCGACGTTAGATTTCGTTTAACATTTTTTCCTGTAAATTTAATTTACACGTAAAAACTTAGAAAGGGATATTTCAAATAAAATTTTTCAATGAATTTGCATGGAAAACGTTAACTTTTATCTGCTTTTAATTTATTAACAAATTTTGTTATTTTTTGCAGAACTGTTGGCCCTTCCGGATAAATGGTTTTCATGTAGTAAACGACCCTTCATACTTCAGTATTCTCTTCAGGATCTTAAAACCATTACTTTCAAATAAAATGAGAGAGCGAGTGAGTACACTTAATTTCTTTCCAATATTAAATATTGATATACTCTTCACTTAAAAATTAATTTTTGATCTCACTAGACAAAAAGACACTGAAGTTGTTGTACAAACTGACTTAATTTACTATTTTATTAAAAGTTTCAAATGCAAGCAAATGGCGGCCTCGTTAGGCTTATACACTTAAAATTTTAAACGGTTGATAATTTTACAACTATTGCATGCAGATTAACTAAAGGCATAAAAACATTAAAACCTTATCCGGAAAATAAGAACAACAGAATTCAATCACTTTCATAAGCAATTACAATAATCTTTATACAAAGCATACTAGCGCATAGATGTTTGCAGGAACGTCTTTCCAGGAGGAACGCGTAAGCGAAAGCGTCGCAGCAATTCAAAGGAAGAAGGGAGGGAGTCAAAAATTTCAGTTCGAGTTAGAAAAGTTTGGTTTACAATTTGGTGATTGGTCAAAAGGTATCTGCATTAAGCGTTACGTAGGATCGCATGATTAATATGTACATGTATGTACGTATATATGTACATATGTACATACGAACAGGCGTCATGAAAAAAATCTTTTCTGAATCCATTTAAATCCAATTTCTAGTCCGTTTTGAAAAAAAAAAAAAAAAAAAAAAAAAAAAAAAAGTCGTTTAATTTGTCTTTACGCAGGATCGCATGATTAATATGTACATGTATGTACGTATGTATGTACATATGTACATACGTACAGGCGTCATGAAAAAAAACTCTTCTCAATCCATTTTAAATCCAATTTCTAGTCCGTTTTGAAAAAAAAAGTCCTTTATTCTGTCCTTACGTACAAATGTCCTCTCAAAACATCGTTCATATGGAGTCGAGAGAGGTCAAAATGGATATTTTCGTTGAAATATGAGAGCCGAAATTTTTCGCGATTACAATGCTTCCTTTAAGTAAGAAAAGGGAATTTTTTTTTTCCCCTTTCGTTGGAAAAAAATTGTAAGTTCTTGGTTTTTAAACCAGTCAGCTATCAGTATCGCATCCACCGTCATCAATCATAATTTAAGTTGGGAAACTAATTTTCCCATTATATGGTAACCCCAAAACTATCCGCGGTGATTGGCTGTTTCATGTCATGTGATAAATCAGTAAATTGTTCAAAAGAGTTGTTCTTTCGAAATGTTTTGAATGTGTGATACTACCTTAAGTATGGGCGATAGCCATATAGAACAAAATCTGTTGCTCATAAATTATTGTATTAAATTCGTGTCAGAATATTTGGCATGAAATGAAAAGTTTTTTTTTTTAATTTTATTTGTCCGCTTCTCAAAAGAATAAGTATTTTTGTTTCCTTTTTCTTTTCAGTTTCATGTTCACGGAAAGAACCTGAAGAACTTCCATAAATACATACCACCAGAGAATCTTCCAGAAGAACTCGGCGGCAAACTGGGACCAATGGATACGACAGAATATCGCATTCACATTTTATCAGGAGAATCTTATATGGAAAAGCTTAACCGATACGGCTACGAGGAACAAAATACCACATCGAAGTCATTGTAATTTCTTAAACTTCAACGAGAATGAACAACCAGAGACAAATTTGATTATCAAATTATCGCATTTTGTCGAACTTACGAAAATATTCCGCTTTAAAATAGTAAAAATGGTCCTTGCACGACAACCTTCTGGGAAAGATAGTAGCAGTAAAATTTTCTTTTCCTTTTCGATTTAGGTAATAAAGAACTTCAGCTATTTGGATCTCTCTTCTATTTTATTTGAACGCAAATTTTAAACGGTATTTGCTTTCCCTGTGTAAATATTTTCATTTGAAATATTTCTTACAGTTCGTGATGTATGATGTAATATAAAACTTGTGAAAGTCTTGTGAAGTGATGTATGATGTAATATAAAATCAGTCAAGAATAAAACGTTAATTTCATTTCATAAAAAATACGTAGAGAAATAAATGTTTTAACAAGAGTATTAGATTATTACGGATCAGTTTTATAGTCGAATAATTAAAAAGCAATTTCTTTCATCTGGTTTTACAGATGAATAAAAGAGACATTATTACATTATTTGGGAACACAATTCCTAAATTACGTTTAAATGTAGAGTAAATTAATAGATAATAGAATAACTAAAAGTAATATAATAACTAAAAATAAAAAAGTAATAGAATAATTAAATAAAATAATAAATGTTTAATTAATTAATAGATAACAGAATAATTAAAAAATGATTTCGTTCATCTGGTTTTATAGAATAATAAAAGAGTCAATTACTAAATCGTTTGGGCACACGATTTCTAAATTATGTTTAAATGTATGCGGTAAATTAATAGATAATAGAATAATAAATATTAAATTAATTAATAGATAAAAGAATAATTAAAAAATAATTTCTTTCATCTGGTTTTGCAGATTAATAAAAGAGTCATTACTAGATTATTTGGGCCCATGATTCCTAAATTATGTTTAAATGTAGAGATTTAATTTACAGTAGCCACCGTTTTTGAAAATGAAAATGCAGAAAAAATTTAAATATATGGCAGTCTACCAGAGTAATGAGGGTAAAAACACGAAAAAAAAAAATAGTTTCGTGGTTTTTAGCCCAAAAGAAGCTATTAGTCTATCGGGTCGTTATCTGAGCTAACGTAGTCACTTCCATGTGTCGACTAGCTCCGATAGTGCACTTCAGATTTTTCAAAGAATAAGATTTTTCAAAGAACACTGTGTTGTGTTCATTCTATCTTGCGATACATTACCTATCTGTACTTCAAGTGATATTTCGACATGAACTACCTTTAGAAACTTGTAAATGTTCGAAAATCTGTAACTTGTTACCCCGGGATAGCGATAAAAGACGGGATCCCATTCTAGCGAACTATAAGTTTGCCTTAGCCGACAATGGTCAACACAAGTCCACGACATTCATAGGTAAAATGAGACAAACGCGCCTGTTGTTAGCAAGAATCTTGAGCACTTTTTCTAGATCGAATTTCACAAATTTCTAAATCGAGCGTAGTAATTTTTTTGTCCCTCAGCCTTACGACTGCATATACTGAGAGGACTGCCAGCCAATTGTTTCGGCAATTTCGACACGGGGTTCATTTAAAAATTATCTCCCCACAGGGTTCTCCAACGAAGAGGGAGGGAGTCAAAAATACAGTTATAGGTAGATTACATCCAGTTGCCAAAACTTGATAATAAAAGCGATTTCTTCATCCCCTGAATGACGTTCAGTTATTTTTTCTTTATTCCATAACTTTCTTATAATTATCGCTTGTGTTTTAATAATGACTAAATTTTTTTATATTTGAAAATTGAGAAATTACATGAGATAGCAATTAATAACGCTTATTCAAGGATTAATTCTAACTGAAAGTTTCAGGTAGATTTCACTGTTTTAAAAAGTATAAAGAAAGCTGCCCATTACCAGATAACTAAGAAAGTACGTGCGGTTTTTGAGAACAATTACTTTTGGCGCGTTAGTATGGTCAAATTGATTCTGATGACATCATGTGTTTAAACTCCTTTCATACCTTATGCAATACAGAGTTGTTCAGTGTATCTCACGTTTCGCAGTTCGTTTTGTAAGAAGCGCAATCTTCAAAGAACATGTCGTTCGAAAAGGAGATTTTGAGGGCTATTTTGCTTTAGGAGTACAAATTAGGGAACAGAGCTACAGGCGTCATTAAAAAGAAATGCTCCGCGCTTGGAGGAGACGTAGTGAGGAAAGGATCTACTCAGAAGTGGTTCAACCGATTTTCTTCCGGAGACGAGAGCCCTGAATAAAAGTCTTGTGTTGGTCGTCCATTCACCCTCAACAAAGTGCAGCTGGAGGAGGAAATTAATTAGAATCCTCATTAAACCTGCCAGAAACTTGTATACAGGTTTGAAGTATCTGATGAAACCATTCCATGATATCTTCATAACCTTGGGATGTCACGAAAACTAAGCAAATGGGTTGCTTATGTCTTGTCCGAGGACAACAAACTCCATCGGTTGAGCATCTGTTGTCTTTGCTGTTGCGCCATGATAAAGCCTCATTCCTGTACCAAATCTTGACATGTGACCAAAAATGTATCATATATGATAACCGGAAGAGAAACATCATTGGTAAACTTCTTGTTCGGTCTCATTGGCCACTAAACGGACATTTATTAAAAGGAAGCAGTGTTGTGTTGTTGGTAGACCAGACTAGCATATTCCACTGTGAACATTTAGAAAGCGGAAAACCACAACAGCGAAGGTCTACTCGTCAAAACTGTAGAGTTTCAGCTGCATCGCGCAAGAAGCAGGCAGCACTGGTGAACAGAAGAGTTCGCCTCCACGATAATGCCAGACCTCATATTGCAAAAGCGACGAAAGAGGTGATTAAAGCACTGGGCTGGGAAGCTCTGTCTCAGCCACCCTATTCCATGGATATCGCCCTATTGGACTGTTAACTACAAGGGGTGATCAAATGAAAAGGTACGATACGACACGGTGGGTACAAATGTAGACTTCATTCAAAATATACACCATAGGCCTGAGCACAACGATCCCACTGATGAACAAGCCCCAGGATTCCTTGTTCCCAGAATTCCTGTCGCCGTGACGAGACTCGGTCCTTCCCAGCGTCCGAGTACGTCTTCCGAGTTGAAGCGCTTCCCTTTCAGGTGTTTCTTCAGTGGACCAAACACATGGAATTCACAGGGCGACATGTCCGGACTATAGGGCGGATGGTTCAACGTCTCCCACTTGAACTTGGCCAGTTCCATGTGTGTGACTCTAGAGACATGTGGACGCGCGTTACCATGGAGCAGAACCACATCCTCCGTGAGCAGCCCCGGTCTTTTGTTCTTGATGGACCTGCGTAGGCGTCGGAGTGTCTCACAGTACACATCGGAGTTAATGGTTTTTCTGTGCTCGAGGAACTCCACAAGTAGCGGATCTTGAACGTCGAAAAAGACGGTGAGCAACACCTTGCCTGCTGACGGCACGGCTTTGAACGTTTTAGGGGAGGTGACGAAGCATGCTTCCACTGCATGCTGTCCCACTTTGTCTCTGACTCGTAGTGATGGCACCAGGTCTCATCACCTGTGACGATCCGCTCCATCAAAGCGGGGTCTTCCTGATACCGAAACAGGTGTTGCAGTCCTAGCCCCATACGCAGTTCCTTTTGCTGGTCGGTGAGCTGCTTCCGAACCCAAGCGGCACACACCTTCCGATATCGCAACCTGTCGTGAACAATTGTCCACGCGTCTCCATATTTGACATCCACCTTCACCGCCAACATTCGCAATGTGTCACGCAGATCACTTCTCACTAGGTCGTCCACCTTGTCGATGTGATCGCTCGTGATGACAGTGTTTGCCTGGCCTGGTCTCGGATCATCACGCACACTCTCACCGCCTGCACGAAAATGGGCACTCGCTTTTCTGACAGACTTGTCAAAGACACATTTCTACCTGTAAACTGTCACCATCCGGCGATGAATAGTTGCCGGTTTCTCGCCTTCCTCTGTCAGAAATCGGATAACACCTCGCTGCTCCTCAGTCTTCGAATTTTGCAACACAAACGCCATCCTGTCCTCACACGGACTGCCGCATCATTTGGACGCCGCTTTTGATAAGAGGCTCTGCTCTCTCCTGCGCATGCGGGCGCACGCGCATGCTCAGATCCCAGTCAGAGACTCTAATCGCATCCCGAGATGTCTCGTTACGTTCTCCTATGGCAGAATATGCAAATATTTAACTGTTACGTTTTTACGTCGTTTCGTACCTTTTCATTTGATCACCCCTTGTATTTTTGGCCATAGATAACCACCTGCGGGAAGAGCAGTTCCGATAACGCGACGAGATCACAAAGGTTGTATCACAATTTGGATTCCAGAAAAAAAAAAAGGATTATTTCAAAAACGTCATTTATAAGATTGTGTCTCGTTGGGAACGTGAAACTGAAGCCAATAATTATTATTATTATGAAGAATGAAATAGGTGTTTAAGATTTTCGTGGGCCGTTTTTGATGAATAAGAAACAAAGGAAAGCCATACGAGTTTTCTTAGTTAGCCTGACATATTAGACCACACTTGTGAATTTTATACATATGATCCCTTTTCTCTCTTTTAAATTATGCAGAAGATTTAAAACAGTTTTAATAAAATATTTTATTCTTAAAAATGTTGGTGTTTACAAATATATATAACTAATTCTTCATTAAATAAATTAATACAATGTAGATGGTCATAAAGCGCATTCTCTAAAACGTAGTAGTAAAAATTTAAGTGGTTGTACAGAGTTTATTAATGTATTTCAAGTGCAGCTCTGCCTTTAGTTGGGAGTTTCGACCACATGTAGATCAGAAGATCACCTCCTCTCTTTGTAAATCGACGAAATTTTTCAGATTCCCAAGAGGGTTTCTCCAAAGAAATTTTTGGCGTCTTAGGGTAAAGTTTGTTCCACATGTATAATAGAAAGTCTGCTCCTTTCTTCACGAAGCGATGGTACTTCTCTAATTCTGCTAAAGACTCAGCTGTTACTACTGTGGATCTCTCAGTGCTGTTTTCTGAGTTGAGAGCTTTAGCATTTCTAAAAAATCATTTGTGAAATATTAATTACGTGAAAAGTAAAAAATAATACATCTAAAGGTTTAACGAGGAAGGTTTAAAATTCTGAAATATCATTTTTTCTCGCTCTTTCTTTGAAATTATCAGCTAAAAGCATATTTTATTCTATTAAGATAAATTGAACGATGATCAAGTTATTAGTATTTTCATTATTAGTTCATTATCATTTGTTTATTAATATTTTCATTGGTTCTTGCCATTATGTTTTAAAATTTATCTAATATTTTTTTAATTTTTTATTCTTTTAATTTTTATGCTGAGTTTGCGGCACTGTGTGTCCGATCTGGACACACCTAAAAATTTCCTTCTGTACGCACAGAAAAATTGAATGAAAAAGGATTTATAGGTTACTCTGAACCTTCTTTATTTATAGTAGATGGCAGCTCAACACAAACCAGCCCATATATTTTAACCATGTTTAGTTTTTTAAGGCCCCTCAAATTTCAAAGAAATCTTCCAGATTTTTTTTAGGGTATAAAAGGAATTGTTTGAAAAGAAATTTCTATGCTATTTTTTGGCTGTATGCTAATCTCCTTATTCTATATTAGTTTTAAATTTTTACTATGAAATCTTGCTTAAAATCAAACGGCGAACTCTAGGTGTGCCCAGACCTAATCGAATCTCCTGATGAACTGCCTCCTCCAGAAATGCTGAAAATTAAACTATTGGAAGAATCTCGCAAAAATAAAGATTCATCGTTTTCTGAACCACAACATGCGTTCTATTCAAAAAGATCAGATATATACTCAACGACCGGTTCCTAAACCGAAACCAGATAAGTCTGCAAGCCGAAGACAGTATCCAGTTAACTACGATGCGACTTCTGCCATATCTATGGGCATAGAGCATCGGAATGTAGGAAGAAAAGTAAAGAAACTAAAAGCAAACGCCATAGTGAAACTGCGATGTCTGAAGAAAAGCAGAATTCCTTGGAGCAAGAAAAAATCGTATCATGCACAAATAGTAATTCTAAAGAAAAGTTTTGTCTGGATAGTGGTGCAACATCAGATATGTGTAACAGCAAGGAACTGTTCTTAGAAATCCACAAGATGGGTGATACTTATGTTAAATCAGCTGCTGATCAAATAGTTAAATCTATCGGAAACGGAACTGTTAACCCTTTAACTGTCAAGTTATTTTGATGATTTGGGTACACAATTGTCAAATTTTTTTATTGGAAAAATCAAATGTTTAGTACAAAATAAAATGTACTTAAGTAGTTAAAAATTGATATTTTGAAGTACATGGGTAAATTTTTTAAAGTTTTGTAGCCACTGCATATTTGCTTGAGGCGGCTGCCACTCAACATGGCAGTTGCAAAGTTCGCTTCTAGTGGAGCATTATTTTCTAAAAATGAAAAAATAAAAATGAATTATTTTCTAAAAAATAAATAAATGAAAAAAATAAATAAATAAAAGTGAATACACCTATTAGTAGTTCAGTAATTCAGTCTTGTGTGGTACAACTGGAAACACTTTTCCAAGCACAAACCAACTCCACAATCACTACACCAGAATCGTATTTCCTTCCTTATCTTTTCCCCATTTTTATCCTTTTTCGAACAACACACTTTGCACTGTCTTGTAGGCTCACGTTTCACAGGAGTAGGAGGAATATGGGAAATAAAATGTCGTTCAGTAAGACGGGCAGGGTTATCTATTGTAGGTGGTCTGCCAACATTCTTTTGTCCAGAAGCTGCATCATCATATTTATGTAAAAGCTCTTCTACAACTTGGATTCGAAATTCTAAAAATGTAATACGTTTCCCAACTACATTTTTATAGAGCAAATATGAGTTCCAGAGTACCTTGTCTAGTAAATGTAAAAATATCTTTTTATAATATTTTTTCTGACGTTTTCGGATTGTTGGATGAAAGGATATTTCCTGATCACAGCGATCTACACCACCCATAGTTAGACCGTAATTAGAAACAATCTTCGGCTTGAGTATATCTTCATTTTTTTTATTTTTGAGGCTGACCATGGAAGTATCATGAATACTGCTCATCAAACACACATCCTTCATCTTCGGTTGAAGAATCTAAATCATCTATATAACGTTTCAAAGAACTGGACGCCATTTTACAACAAAAAGATCCCATGCACTTTGAACCAAAGAACTTATAACCTCTAACCTTTGAAATCTTCAGTAAAGTGCTGTCATCTATTGAACTGAGCGCACATTAACTTTTCCCGAGATACAGTCGGGTTTGACAAAGAGATGAAGCCGAAATAAACGTCTCCCGATATATATTCGGGTATAACAATACGATGCACTCAAAAAAAAAAAAAAAAAAAAAAATTACCCCGAGTAATACTCGGGCGTGACATTTTCGAACACCAGTGCTGTGCCCGAGATTATCTCGGGCATGACAGTTAAAGGGGAAAAATCGATAGGTTTAACTGCAAAATAAACTCAAAAAGTTTGTGTGTACGATTTGAAAAACATTAATTCAGCTCTAAATAACTTTCAGTAATTTTTAAAAATAATTAATCTATACGAAACAGTAATTTTAGCAAAGCGAAAATGATCTTTATTATGTCATGCCAATATTTGAATTTGTATCAATTGTTAAAGAAATAGATCCGTGGCATAGAAGATTTGGCCATTTAAATGAAAATGATCTTAAAAAACTTAAATAACATGGTTAGAGGTCTTTCTTTTTCTCAAAATGACTCTCTTTCTACTTGTAAGGTATGCATTCATGGTAACAAACCGCAACCCCCTTTCCCAAAGAATCTGAATATAAATAGAAGTACTGAATTGTTAAATCTAATCCATACTGATTTGTGTGGTCCCATGAGAACTGAATCAATAGGTGGATCATTTTATTTCG